CCCCACCTCCCATGCCTGGGTTGGTTGCCATCTTTTTTATATGCAATCTCACATTTGAAGACTGTCTGCTGCTGGTAGACAGGGCTGAGTCTGAGGAAGTCTCTCCACTTAGCAATGTCCCAGCTCAACAGCAAAAAGCAAGGCAGCCAGGTTCTACAAGCAGTGCTGCTAGGACATTGCTAAGTGGAGAGACTTCCTCAGACTCAGCCCTGTCTATCAGCAGTGCATCCAGCCCCCATGACAAAGGAGCAAAGGCTGGAAGAATGGGAGAAAACACAGATCAGGGTGAGAATCAAGGGGAAGGAGCATGAGATTCACAATCAGACAGAGCACTTGAACAGTTGCATGACTCCAGATGAAATAAACAGGAGTAATGAATGAAGGAGTTACACGGAAACAGGTTTGGAGTTGCCTAATGAGGCGGAGATTTTTTTTTCCTTCACTGGAGCTATTTATGCAGAAGACGGACAGCTACTTAGCCACTAAATAAGCTTTTACTGGGATCCTACTATAGTGTACCAGAAATAGCCTACTATAAGTCATCTCTATGAATGGTTCAAGAGAACAGAATACAGTTGGGGAGATAAAGGTGCTATTCAATGTGGTATGAGGACTATTTCTAGAAGTAATTCCTGGATCATATGGTTGGTACTTTAAGTCTAGGCCAGTATGATCCTATGATTCACCTCCTCTGGGACTTTTCCTTTTCTGCAAAATGAAGGGGAGACTGAATTCATTCATTCTAACATGAATCAGACACCTACTACAGACCAAATACTCTGCTAGGCCCAGGGCTACAGAAATAACAATAAGACAGGGGCCCTGTCCTCAATGAGCGCACCGCCTAGCAAGGGTCAAAGAGTGACAGGGCACAGAGGGGAGAGCCCCTAACCTGCCTGATGAAGTGAGGGCAGTTTCTCAGGGAAGGTGACGGCAAAGCTACATACAAGGGAAGGAGAAAGCATTTTCCAGACGGAAAAGGAAAGAGAAGGTTATTCAAAAAAAGGGAACAACAAAAGCCATGAACTTGTGACAAGGTCTAGTATGTTGGGGGAACAGGGAAAATCATAGAGAGGATGGCAGGAACTGGTGAGAAATGAGACTGAATTAGGGCCAGATTGTGAAGCACCTACTAGGATCTTAGAAATAAGCTTTCAAAAGTTTTGCGATTCTATGTATCACTTTATGAAGGTTTTGAGATAATAACAGATGGCGATAATGACCATCCCTAATCTCTTCCTCTTTGCTAGGCTACACGGACCTAAAGACACATGGAAGTGGCTTAAAGAGGGAGATGCCAAAACCACATCTTTACCGTATTCTTTCCTCCCTCCTCTTCCTGTCCAGCTCCTCCTGCCTTTGAATGGATTTCTGCCGCTCCACTTCCATCATCTGATCCAATCGCTTCTCCTCTGCATCCAATTCTTTTTGGATCTGCTGCTTCTCCAGGATTTGGGCATCCCGGATGGCATGGCACTTGGCATTAAGGATGACCTGGAAAGTGGATATAAAATTGTGGCACTAAGCTTGGGGGTGTGGAAGTTTAATGGGGGAGAAATGGAAGCAGAATACTGTACTCCTGAGTGTGTGGGAGACGCACATGGCTACTCCCCAGTCTGGAGAAGCGAGAGCATGCCTATGTTAGCCCCTCAACACAGCTCAGCTCAAACGTCTACTGGGCTCCTACTAGGTTGCAGGGTCTGTGCAAGGAGAGGTCTGGAATAGCATCTTTCAGGGTATTAAATTTTTTTTTGAGACAGTGTCTCACTCTGTGGCCCGGGGTAGAGTGCAGTGGCATCGTCGTAGCTCACTGCAGCCTCAAACTCCTGGGCTCAAGCAATCCTCTAGCCTCAGCTTCCTGAGTAGCTGGGAGTTCAGGTACATGCCATGATGCCCAGCTAATTTTTCTATTTTTTGTAGAGATGGGGTCTCACTCTTGCTCAGGCAGGTCTCAAACTCCTGAAAACTAAAGCAATCCTCCCACCTCGGCCTCCCAGAGTGCTAGGATTACAGGCATTAGCAACCATGCCTGGCCAGGGTATTGCATCTTAGTATTTTCGGGGTAATGGATCACTCTTTGGAAGGATGGTGAAAGCTATGGGCATTCTCCTCCATAAAACTGAATTACATAAAATTACACATAATTTTCATAAAACTTCGGAGGTCCATGATTCCACTTAGAGACCCATGAACTCCAAGTTAAGACCCCTTGTTCTGCTCCTCAGGGAAGTTAAGACACTCTTGCAAGGGCCAAGCCACAAAGATTTTAAGCTGGATGAGCCCAACATAATACAAAAGGGGATGAAAAACCATGGCCCCATCAATAAGAAACAAAAAGTAAAAGACTTGGAAAATAAAAAGAGGTATAAGTAGAGAAATTTACCTGAGAGACAGAAACTGGAGATGAGAGATTAGAGAGTCAATATTTTTCATTTGGTCAGGAAGTGAACCACATGCAAATGAGTTACAAAATGGAATTCAAATAAGCCTCTGATCTTTACACGCTCAGCTAAAGGAAGCACTTCGCGTACTTCAAAAAGCATCCAATTGCCTCGCCCGCCATATGTGGCCAGAATTGAACTAGCAGGATAAAAACAAAAGTAATACCCTCATATCTATTTATCAATCTACAGTCCACAAAGCCTCTCCTGTATATTAGCTTATTTAATCCTGCCAATAATTCTGCTAAGTAGTTTTACCTCCCTCATTTTACAAATGAAGAAAGTGAGGCTCAGAGAGGGCAAGTGACTTGCTCAAAGTCGCACAGCAAGCAAGTAGCAAAGCCAGTCCTCCCTCTGATCACAGCAACTACCATGGCAGGTGCAGCTCTCCCCCAACCCCATCCCTGCCCTCACCAATCCCTCTCCTTGTCCAGTGTGACTAGGAGGAGGGAGGAGGGAGGAGGGAGTGGCAATGAGCCCCAGAGGAGGAGGAGACCAAGAAACCCACCTTGTTGATGTGCTTGAGCTCCTCCTCCTGCTCCATCCGAAGCTTGTTGGCTCTCTGCAGGAGGTTCTGGGCCCGCTCCTTGGCCACCTCCTCCAGGTCGCTGAGCTTCTTGTTTTTCCTCCACACCATTTCCTTCTGTTTCATGATCTTCTTGCGTGTCGTCACTGCATCCTAAGGGAGACCAGTCAGGATTGGGGGGGGACTGTCCCCGTGCTCTGTGCTCTGGGCGCTTCCCATTGCTCCTGCAGGTGACCCAATACAGTGTTGCCTCAGCCCATCATGCCATCTGAACCAGAAGCTTCCCTGCCTGGCTGCATTCTCACCCCTCCCCTTGGCCCCAGTTGCTTCCATATCCCATCTCAAGTACTTCTCTCTGGTCTTGCTTCTGCAACATTTCTCCATTAAGTACACACTCATGCCTCGTGTTGGGGTCCCCTAACTAGAGCTCCCACTGCCGTGAGAAACTGGCCTCCCCCCAGCACATTTCTATTCTGCCACCCATCCACAGAGGCGAAGGCTTAGGGAGGTTAACTACCACGATGGCTTCCTTCTCCTTCTTGAAGGCCTGCTCCCGGGCCTCGAGCTCTTCTCTGGTCAGGACATGGGATGCCCATCTGATCCGCTCAAACTCCTCAGGGCTGATGATTAGGGACTCCCCAGAGGGATCCTCCTTGGGAACTCTGACAAGGAGTGAACAGTTAGGGAGAGGAGGGGGCAAGCTCTCGGCACCACCTCCAGGCTTCTCTGCTCTCTCCCCCGCCCCACGTCATGCCAACCCTCAGGCATGGACTCAGCCAATGGCGGGAGAGACTGCAACTGTGCCATGGGTCCACTGGGGAGAAGGGGTTCCAAGTGAGGGTCAGATAGCATTGCAGGTTAAAAAGAGACATTTGAAGTCCCTTTTCTACACGATCCAGTTCCTATGTTACCTTCTCTGTGGCAGCTGACACCCTCCTCTGTGTTCTGGAATGCCCCAATAGATCACCTCCTGCTGTGAGCCCCCGCCACACCCTGCTCACACTGCCTGCATCACAGCCAACTGTGCAGGGTCTGCTTCCTTTACAAGCCTCTTCAGGACACGAGCTCTGGCTTAACCACATTGGTAGCCTCGTCTCTGGCACAGTGCATGGCACAGAGGGAGAACTCCAAATAAAGCTGTTAGATTGAACTTTAAAAATACGTCAGTCCTCAAGGATGACATAAAAAGGGCAAAGGAACACCAGCCCAGGTTGAAATGGATGCTAGTGAGAAACCTAAGCGTCCCTGTCCATCCAGCCTGGAGAGAAGCTTTGAACCCTAAATATTAATTAAAATCTCTGATCAACAATAGCTGCAGACATGTCTATAGACCCCTCCTTTCTAGCTGCCCAACCCATTCAACAAACCAATAGCTAATTATAATGATTACAAGCAAATGACATACATTAAAGATGGGGGAGGGAGCAGTTGGGGGGCGGGAACAAAGCTGCTTCGGGGTGAGGCGATTTAACAGGTGCATGGCAACAGGACGCAGACAGTCTGCGACAGGAAGTGAACCCTCATCTAATAAAACTAGTGGAGGGACGGTCCAGGAGGTGGACAGAACGAACGAGTGGATTCGGGGCTTAGCCAAGATCTTGTGGTTCGCTGAGCAACGTGGCCCGAAACAGCCTGGGATCTGCGGTGACCAGGGAGTGATCTGAATCTAAGACAGCAGCTCGGGCTGCTTTCAGCAGCTCTGAAAAATAACCTCCAACATGTTTCCAGGACTAGAACACTCCAAGAAGGAGCCCTTCCTCAGGCCTCAGGAGTGGCACCAGGGCTGGTGACCACGTCTGGCCATTAAATGCCAGAGCTGACCAGACAGTGCTCAATAAGGAGCTGCAGTCAAGTGCAGCTTGGGACCATGTCCCAGCTGTGCCTCCCCAGCTCACGACACAAGCAGTATGTTCTGGGAATTTGAATTTTTAGCGGGTGGAGCCAGAGTAGGGAGAATGGTTGTAGAGGGTGAAGCACTAACCCAAGAGCTAAACCACTCAGCACAGTGCAGGCTCATTGCGCACTGCTGCGCTAGGCCTGAGCCCCCAGGAGGGCCCAAGCAGGGGGCAACTGCAGTCAGGAAGCAGGCTGAGCTAATCCCAGAGGAACCCAAGGAGTCCCTGTGAATTTCCTCTTATGGCCTCAGAGTCTGGGAAGAAGCTAGGGGGCGAATTAGGCATCTGTGCAGTTTCCCTTTGCTTCAGATTCTTAATGTAGCCGAAAGGAAGTGACTCATCTGGATCACTTCCGCCTACCAAGTGCACTAAGGGGGACTTGGAGGGGACCCGCTAAGCACCTCCCCTCTACCAGGCTCCTAGAGCCCTCAGCCAGTCCGAAGAAAGGGAGGAGAAAGGAGCTGGGAATAGAGGCCAATGGCAATAATAGAAACAACAAGGAAGAAACAAGAGAGGCCAAGATGGAGAAGAAAGAAAGACCCGTGAAACAAAAGGGCACAGATGAATAGGGAGGTGGGGATCAGATTGACAGAAGGAAACCAGGCACGGTTCCGCATCTCCCTGCAAAGATCCTCCGCAGAAGGGCAGGCTGTGCCCCGGGTACTCACATGAGCTCTCGGACCATGTCCCGGGTGATGAGCTGGATGGTCTCTGGCTTGTGGTCCAAGCCCAGGGCACTGAGAGTCTTCCCAATGGTATGCTTATCCCGGAGCAGCACGATGGGGCTGTTGCTCTGGCCCTGGGCCAGGGGCTATGAGGTCAGAAAAGACAGCTTAGGAGCTGGTCACCCCACTTCCTGCTAGTCAATCCTAACTTCAAGTGTAGCCCTCCCCTCTCCTGGGGCTTCCGACCCATCCAGTGGCAGGGGAGGCCGGCGGGGGCCCAGACTACACAGGACCACTAAGAGTAGCCGGGGCCTGAGAAAGCAGTGTGGGCCCTCCACCTGAGCCTGGCTGGGTGTGTTCTGTACTGACCAGCTCTTCCGAGAGCAAGGCCTCTTGTTCTTGGGCGAGCACTCCTCTCAGGATGGGAGGGATAGTGGGGGTTGGGGGGGAGCACGAGTGTGTGTCTATACCTAGCCTGAAATCGTCAAGAATGAAAATTAAAGTTTTGGTCTCTAGGTTCTCCTCTCTCTCATGAAAGATTCTCCTTTATGAAAGAGAAAATAATAATAATCTCTCTGGGACCACACAGGGAGTTTGAAGCTATACAATTTGTTACAGACAAATATAATCTATGACACTAGTAATTTTTAATCCTTTCTAATGATTAATTTACTTTGAACCCCCAAAAAAGCCATATTGAGGGGGTTAGAAATAGCTAAGTCGTCTGGTAGAGACCTACCCTTAAAATTTAATATGAGGATGTCAGTAAGTTGGAATTCAGCAAGAGGAATACAGATTAGCTGTATGATTTTTTTTTCAAGATTCTCTGACCTTGAAGGAGTTAGATAACAAGAAAATGAAATCACTTATTTCAGGAAATGTCTAAACACAGGAGAGAATTTCATTTCTTGTTAATGCAGTAGCTATGCTTCTGACCGGAGGCAGGGCGGTGATGGCCTTGCCTGTCCTCAGACCGCCACTCTGCACAGACAGTGCTGAGTTCTGCTGCCACCTGCTGCCCATCTCTGCTTCCCAGCGGGCCACTCAGTCATGCCACAGGCCACTTCTGCCCCCTACTGCCAATTGAGAGACTTCCTAGATTCTCACCCACCAATAAGGCCTAGGAAACCCGGCCAGGGACAAGCATTTTTCTGGCCACCCCCTTTCGCTATCCAGCATGACTACTCCTGGCGAACTCCGCCACTTCCAAATCTCTCTTTGCTTTTGATGAGAAAACTCCACATGGACCCAAAACAAAAAAATGTCTGTAAGTGAAATTGCATCCCTTTGACTCTTTCCCTTACTAATAGGAAAGTTGCTGCAGAGTGAGGGTCTTCTGAATGGAGAAAGAGGCCCTCTTGAATGCTCTGGAAAGTCCTCTTCGATTCAAGAGGATGGAGAGGTTCGTGATAGACATCCCCTCCCCTCTCCCCGACCAGCCCTGCTGCCAGGGGGATTCAGGCCACCGTGGGTATCTTTCTTCTCTTTCTCTTTTCCTTTTCTCTTAATCTCCCACTGCCATTCTCTCCATGCCTCTTTCTCTTCCCTCTCTTCCTTCGCACCTACTAAACTTCGTGTGTATCAAAATTATTCGAAGCAATTCTCTAGCTCTCCTTTTCTGGACAAAAGGAGCTGTCAGCCTCTCAGTCTGGATGACATTTGCAGATAAAGACCTGCTCATTTTCCAGAGCTACATAATTGTTTTCGCTGGGCAGCTGGGAAAGGAGGATGGTTTTGTGTTGTACTCGGATGCCATTATTCTTGGATGGAGGGGGAAAGATGTTGTCGTGTGTCTGCAAGCTTAGCCCATAGGCCTTCAAATATTTCCATCATGGAGCTCTCACTGAGCAACTATCGCACTGTCTACGGAAGAGCCTCTCTTTTGACGTTATGACAGATTTTAAATGCTGTGAAAGGATGAGGAATTTCATGGGTGGAAGCAACCAGGCACCCCTGTTTACATAAGCCCCACTTGATGCCAAAACTCTGCAGCTCAGTTCTCAGAACTTCCCTTTGTCTTCAGTCCGAGAGAGTTACCTATGACAGCCAGGTGACCCAGTGCAAGCTTTGTCCTGGGCCATGCTAGTCTGGGCCACCTGGAGGAGTCTGTCGAGGGTTACCTTGATAGCTCCAAAGAGGCTCTCATCCACCTCAGAGCTCACGGCTTTGGTCCGATAGCGAGTCTTATTCCTTGACCTGTTGGAAGTGGTAGAAGAGGCGCTCAAGATGCCAGTTGTGCTTAGCGGCTGCAGGAAGAGGCAGAAAGTTTATGTCATCAGTACTGAGTGGCATCCAGGCCCTGGGCAGTAAACACTTCTCCAGCCTATACTGGCAGGGGCTGGGGTGGGGGGCAGAGAGGATGGAAGCATGTGGAAAAACCACTTAGGGACAGCACCTGCGTAAACCCTGAAACAAAAGGGGCAAAGAGGAACAGATGGATGACATCCCCACAGAAGCAGGAGGGGTCTCTGCAAGAAGAGAGCTCTGCAAGGAGGAGCATTTCTGTACAAAAAAAAAGTTGATCTGATGGAAGCAGGCAGTAGAATGGTGTTACCAGAGGCTGGGGGGTAGCAGGGGTGGCGAGACGGGGAAAAGTTGGTCAATGGGGACAAAGTTATAGTCAGACAGGAGGAATAAGTTCTAGTACTCTGTTGCATGGTACGGTGACTATAGGTAACAATAATGTACATTTCAAAATAGCTAGAAGAGAGGATTTTGAATGTTCTCACCACAAAGAAATGATATGAGATGATGGATGTGTTAAGTACCTTGATTGGATCATTATACGACATATACACATATTGAAACATCACACTATACCCCATAAATATGTACAATTGTGATGCGTCAATTAACAACAGAATAAAACATTTTAAAGGGGGGAGCATTTCTGTAGTCCCGGAATGGAGGAAGGCCAAGTCAGTCATGCAGTGTGAAAGGAAGGATGAGGGAAACAGGGATGGCAGGAGGAGAGGAGCCACAGTTTCTCCTCATTGTCCATCTGGTTCCGGTTTCCCACAAGGACGGCCTCTTCTGAGGCATCTGGCCTTGCCTCCCCGGAAACGCACGGTGTCCTCTTTCCCCGCAATCGTCTCAGCCTGAGCTCCAAGACTCTTCACAAACAACAGTACTATTTGACCTCCTTCATGTCTCTGCAATCTCATAGGTTATGGTAGGGACCAGAGGATATAAAGATGGAAAAGCACCTCACCCGCTGCTTGGCATGTGGCTGAGGTCTAATAAACTTTAGGCAGTGGATGAATGATTACCAGCTACAATCAGGAAAACCAGTTCTTTCTCTCCCAGGACCACTTAGTGTTCATGAGTCATTTTTAACCCCCTACTATCTTCCTATTTTTGCAAATTCCCCATCTGATGTGTTGTGGGAGACGGGGCTCCTCTCCAACTACAGAAGTTGAAAACACCAGATATTTGCCTTCCCTGCTTGGCCAAGGGACCTGGGCTTAGCCAATGAGATCGCCCCAGGCTGACAATGACAGGGAACTAGTGATGCAAGAAGCAGAACAAGGAAAACCTTTCTGATCAAGGCAGCAGTGGCAGCCAGAGCCAGTGACTGGGGACACTGATGAGGGACACCAGCAGCAGCAATCCACATCCAGAGCTGGCAGCGTTGGAGTGCAACAGTGCATCAGAGGCCCTTGTCAGACCGGTTCTAGGTTTTGATTTTGGCCTCGGTTCTGGCTGCAGAGCCTCTCATTGTTCCTATTTTCCAAGTCTAGTTTCCCAGCCTCAGTGTAAAATCTATGAGCACTCCAAAATCCTCTAAATACAAGCCCTTCTACTTAAATTAGAGCCCTAGCTCTGTTGCTTATAACCAAGAACTCTAATACAACCTCCATTCCCAAAGGTCAGTCCAGCTTCAGCTCAGCCCCAAGAGTAGATGTCTGTCTCTAGCAGGCAGTGTCTGGAAGGACTACTGGATGACTCCAGACTTACGCTAAAGCTGATTCAAATCTCACCTTGGAAGAGTCCTTGCCCTCCACACCTCTGTAAGCTGGGCTACCCTGGGGGACTGGCCAGACACAGTGGGTCTCCCCTAGCTTGGGAACCAGCAGCTGTCAAGGGGACAAGGTAGACAGGGACATGGACCTTGCTTTCCAGGTCACTAAACACTGGACAGTGTTTTGAAAGCTTTCTCTGATCTGCCATCACCAACCAAACACCCCAGCACCTGCTCCACCTGTATCAGGTGTTCACACTCAGTTGGGCAATTATTCTCCAGCTGGCTTTGTCCTGTACAATGAGCACGGCTGTGTGTGCCTTTCCCTCATGGCCTGGCACAGCAAAAGGCTCACAGAGGGAGTCTCCCTCTACATCCTCAGTCAGCCCCAATATAGCAGAGCAGAAAAAACTTGGATTTATTAAAAGCTAAATAAAGCAGCCCTGACGATGCCTAATAACAGCGTCAGAAGGGTTATTATATGGTGGGTGGTGAGCAACTGCTCCCCTTTCCACTAAAATTAGAATAAGAGGAAATGAATAGAAACTGCAGTAGTTGGGATTGAGGCTAAGCGTTGGTAATAACTGGGAAAGGTAGAAGGCTTTGCATCATGAGTTCTGTACATAATTAAGGAAAAAGGTGCAGTGCCTGGCACACAGTAGGAACTCAATATGTATTTGATAAAGAACAAAAGAATGAAACTGAGCAAGATGACCTCTGGAGGACTGCAGAGCAGATTGAGACAGTTGCCTTTTGGGAATATGGCTGCCTGACTCTAAGTCACTCCACCATTCCCCATTTTCCAGATCCTGTATGTGGTCTGCACTGTGGATAATAACATATGCGAAAGGGCTTTGGAGTGCAGATGGAAATTATTGCTTTGCATTTGTTTTCCTGTTTCTTTTCAAGGGCCCCTGCAGGTTCTCCCGTGTGCTCAGGTGTCCACCAGGCTGCAGGTTCCTCCGGGTCTGAGACTGCATCTACCCTTTCCTACACCTCGGTATCCAGGTCAAGAGGAAGTCACAAGGAATACTCGATCGCCTGAGCCTAGAAGTCAGAACAGAGGAAGGAAAACAGATGACCACAGAAAAGTGGCCACTGGGCAGAACAGAGGGAAGCTCTGAGCTCCAGGGTTGGGTGGCTGAGAAAACCTCATTTGGGAAATGCTGACTTTGAAGCCACAAGCCTTACACAAGGGTTCAAATAAACAGTTTTGCCAAGAGTAACAAGAAGGATTAGGGAGGTCATTGTGTAAAAGGACTAGAAAAATGAAGAACCAAGCATAAAGGGAAAGTTGGATCCCTCTGGGCCAGAGGCTGTAGCCAAGAGGTTCTTTTAAGAGGTAAAGGGCTGGTTTTATTTCTTGCATGACCAAATAAATATTGCCAAGAAGCTGAGCAGTGCCTAGAGAGAAGCACACCGAGTCCTGCCTGGGGGAGGCAGCTCTTCTCAGCTCCTAAAGGGGGGGTTGGGGAAGCTGACCACTGGGGACAGATAAAGATGCCATCCCTGCTTTCATATTTTCATCTTGGTGACCCAGCTGACTCCCCCTCGCTTCCTCAACCTCCTACCCCAAGAGCACAAGAATTCAGCCACCACTACCGGCTCTATGAGAGACTCTGATACAGAAAGATTAGCTCATCAAACAAATGATGATTTTGAGTTATAGTCGTTAATATAGAACTATCTCCATAAGATATTAATTTTTAAAGAAAACAAATTTTAAGAAACATGTAAGTATTCCTGTAAAAATGTTTGCTTGGAGGGTGCGCACCTAGAATGCATTACTGAAAGAATGTTCACAAAAATGTTCAACAGTAATTTCAGGTGATGTTTCTTATATTGAATAATGTTCTTCAACGAGTAAGGTAACTGTTTTCGTGACCAGAAAAAAATACTAAAAGTATTTTTATTAGAAAATAAAGCATAACAGCAGGCCTAGTGCCCTGACTCTGAAGGCATGAGAGTGTAGCCCTTAAAAAGCCACAGCATTTTATATTCCGGGATCCAGGAGGTTTAGCTCAAATCCAGCAAGACAAAAGCTGGAATGGGGCTTGAATCGGTCGGTGTGGAGTGTCCCTGACGTCACCACAACACCTGTCAACTGAACAAAAACAAAGACATGTCCTTTGCTAGATGTCCTCTCCACCCTGAGATCAGGTTCCTGCTTTGCATATAAAGTCACCACAGGCTGACAAATCCAGGCTTCGAATTCTTGGCCTGGTTTTACTTCCCTTTCTGTACACTTTGGTTACTAAGAAAGTGGGGATTCCCATGCACCAGGCCCCCTGCCTTTTACTCTGAGTGGTCCACTCAGTTATTCTCTCCCTTCAAACGGGACCAGGTTGGCCATCTGCGGGATGCCACCTGAAGATGACGACCTAGTCAGTGCTGAGGTCCCCTCCCTCCTTCTGGAGGATGTTATGAGTTATTTTTGCAAGGGTTCTGGGAGTCTGCCTAATTGCAAGCCTTATCACCACACCACCTCCTCTCTTCCCTCAAACACTCTCAAAAGCTAGTGAACAGCACTATCCGCACCCGCGTGCACACACACACACACCTGGCCTGCCGGAGATCACTAACTTAGACCCTCTGCTTTCGAAGGTGTCTATGTGCCCCTTCCTGTCCCAGTGATTTCAGAAGGGCTCAGAAGGGCTCAGTCAGCGGGCCAAATCCCTGCCACGAGCGGCCCTTGGGTGGGGAATCCCTGATCTGGGTGCTCTGCAGCCCACAAGTCTAGCCCGGGTACAACTTACTCATCAATGAGGGCTTGGAAATAGAAATATTTTAAAGCAGGAGAGAAAGGGAACTAACATATTCTGTATGCCCTCAGACGCCAGGCGTGAGGCCATGTTCTCACATACACACGTGTACTATTGTGCTTGTCAAATGCTGCGGGGAGGTGAGACACGATCAAATAAAACGCGTGAGTGAAAGAGGACCCCATTGCAACACTGCAGGGAGTCCTCAAAAGTTGGGAACTGCTCTTTGCTGGAGTCTTGTTTACTTAATAATTAACACAGCTCTTCTAAAGTCCACAGAGCCCCAGGAAAGCAGTGCAGCCTCTGGGCTTGACATGGGTCCACAAGTACACATAAGTAACCACCCTTGCCACCTGGTGTGCCCCAGGCATTCCAAGGTTAGTTTCTACAACCCAAGGCCCCAACACCCATCCTCTGCCCTCTCACCTCCCCTCAAGCCCGGTATCCCCCTC